CATTTATTGTCGCTAGCGCTGTATTAGGTTATGCTACCACCAGAACTGAGATCAAACAATGCGACTTTGTTCGCACGAATGTTCCAGTTTTCTTGTTGATGGCCAGCTCTCTCAAGATTGGTTTATGTTGATGCAGATGTTAATCCAGTTCTGGCCACGTGCTTGTAAGGCGTTGAATCAGCTGTGCGGTCCTTTTTTCGATTTCATCACATTAGTTAGCATTATTATCAGCAGTTTCGCATTTCTCGCGCTCACTGTTTGTCTGATGCGAATTTCCAGCAACATCTCATGCGTAAATCTATGAAAGTAACAGTCACGGTATCATAAGTCGAGTTCATTTCGGCTATAATTAGAAACTGTCCTTTTAGGCTCTTAAATCTCCGCGCTGATCTGAAAAAACCGCAAGACCTTGACCTCAGTCGCAAAGATGACGAAAAATCTCATGTAAGTGCTACTTTCCTATGCGTCCTGCCAATCTCAATTTATGGCTTACTAGCTTGTTTTAGCTTACCACGAAGAAGCTTCTTATAAGTATATGCAACCTCGAATATATACTGGAAAATGCTTTGAAAGGTATCAACAAACGAATGTTTGACTGCGGAGTAAAGTATGCAGATGAAGTTTACGAGGTGGGCTTATTTCCGCGGGATTCTCTGACAATGTGTTTTTTCTTCAGAAGGCTAAGGCGAAGTTATCACTTTATCGGCAAACTCTGGTTCGGTGCTACATAATGATCAAAAGTAGTGCTTTCTCAACGCTCATAGAATCAGCCAACTATGAGTATATACCTGATGATGGTGGGTGCTCTTCCTATACACGAGATGTGTTGTTGTGAAATGACTTGTTATTTTTCAGACGTATCTGATTATGCCAAGGAAATGATGATGTGTTGTGTATTACAACAAGCAGAATTAGAGCTTTGTTCACCTCAACTTACATCCGAATGTCTACAGGTAATTACAGTTTTAGCTTTTTACGTTATTTTTAAAGAGCTTTTTACGTTATTTTTAAGCTCCTTTCTCCTTCCAGGCTACAGTACAAAATGCTTTTGTTAATTTATTGGATCAGCTAGAAGCTCGTGAACCTGCCTCGGAAAGAGA